AGTGGGTGAGGTAAGGTGATTTTCTGAGTGAATGTAAAATTTAAACAAAATTGTGCGTAAATTATTTTTTTTAAGGAAATAATCTATATTAAAAGTAACAAATCAAGCAACATTAAAATAGACTCATCATAACAATCTCAGGAGTAAGCTCAATGATCAAACTTTGAATCTGTCACCCATAGACGAGCCGCAGAAGTCACTAATCATGTAATGGACAAATTGAAGCTTAATATCACCATGTAAGTTTTCATGGTTCTATCGTGATTTAAAAAACTTACAACTCTACCAAAATCAAACCAATGTAAGAAAAAATATAGAAACAAGTCATTCGTTTTTAGTTATGTCCATTACAATATTGGTTGAGAAGCATTATTGAATTTGAGAAAAATATATCTAAATCTTGATGAATAACATCAATAGCAATTGAAAAACACTACTTATACAAGTGCACAAACCACTTTTTTTTACTTACGTATAAACTCCGTATTGTGAAGACTAATTCTCCTCCGACATTCAAACTGAGAGAAGCAACGCAGGAACCGATAGTGATTTGGAATACGAAGTATTTTCAGCTTCAATAGATTCAGGCCACTTGAGATGGCGGCGGTCTATAGCAAAGCCAAGGACAAAATGTTGACACTAGAACAAAACATTAATATTAAGTGGGCAATTAGTATAAGGATATTGATGGATAGTCTACCCGGGGGGTATCTTATCCGAGGGGTTATTGCGGGAATAACTTAGAGAGAAGTCAGAGTAAATAGGAGGAGAGAGAGTCGATTTTATTAAATGAACTCAGCGTGTGTAGTTGAGATGTAGATCATGATTTACAAGGAGGAATGGGCTGCTATTTATAGCAGCAATAAATGCGATGAGAGGACACGTGTCAGTAATCCAACGGCCGAAGGGTCACATCAGCCTGGTGGCACCGGCAGTGGTACGTCAACCGCATTGAATGCGGTTGGCGGATGCGACGTGGCATTAAATGCGGTGGTTGGCTGTCTCTAAAAGGAATCTTCGGTGATAGAGCTTGTGTAGCCGAGGGCTCCTTGTGTAGCCGAAGGCTTGGTTCAGCCGAAGGCTTCCCCTGGTGCCGGGGGCATGAGAATGCCGAAGGCTCATGTCCTCGCCCGTTTTCTCCCAGCAGCTTCTTATGCCAGAGAAGGCCATCCTGTGAGTTTTGGAGCCTTCGGCCAAGGAGGCCGAAGGCACCCCAGTGTGTATTCTGGGCTACTTTGAGGCTTGGGCCGTTGTATTTGGGCCTGAGTTGTTTCCTGAGCTCAATGGACTTGTGTAGGAGAAATAGGAGTCTATGGGCCGGGGGTCCCTGGGCCATATACTCCATCAGATATAATAGACATTCTATTTATATTTAATTAATTGATTTTAATTAGGGGCTGTGAATAGCAAATTAGAGGCTGCATTTAAAATTTCCTGTTTAATATTAAAGGATTTAGTACGCAAAAAAGGGGTTTGATAAAAAAACATTTCTAAGGATGTGCTTACTTCACTGCTAAAGTCACAATTAGGTTAGTAAGAAATGTGAAGTAAACATGTAAGCTGGTAAAAAAGACGCTTAGGACATGTTTCCTTCATAGGTTACTAAACGGTGCTTATTAAGACACGCTTAATAAGCGGCGCATAAAATAAACAATGTTGTAAGATCGTGTTTACTTCACAGGGTCTAAAACATGCGTTTTCCCCCATGTTTACTAAGCACAAGCCTTGGCATCCATAATATCCATGCCTCGGCGCACCAAATCGAACATGTAGCGGTCTATCCAAAAAACCACGACATCCATAATATCCATGCCGCGGCCTTCTACTCAGAAAGTAATCAAGTGATGCGGGTATAAACTGAAAAGAATTTTATACACCACATGCTTGATTTTTGCAATGACTTCCTCTTCCTTGACGTCCCCTTCATCAAATCGGTTGGCATTCCTAGCGTGCCAAAGGTAGTAGACCGCGGCACCAAACGCAATCCGGATAGCCTTCCCTTTAATCTTTGATCCCTTGCGATCCTTCAAGATCCATTTCACAGAGCTGCTTAGCGTGGTCATCTCTCAAGTCATGCCTAACCATTCCTTAATTTTTTTCCAGACCCTACAGGTGTAATGACATCGAAAAAATAGGCGTGACATTGTTTCCAATCCACCCTTGCACAGGTCACAACGATTAACAATATGTAGGTAAGCAAGGCTATCCTGTGTAGGTAGTCGGTTCCTCATAGCAAGCCAGACGTTGAATGAGAACTTCAGAGAGATATAAGACTTCCAAATGAAGCTCATCCATACTCTCGGCGTCCCTTTAATTCTCAACAACTCATAAATTTTTCCAGAACGGAGTTTACCATTTAAGGATCTGCTATTTAGGCCCATAATGGTATCATTCAAATTGTTAAAGCATCCCAAAATTTGATCCCGGATGTGACTCAATTTCTTCATGAACATTGAGTCAAAATTGTGTGGGATAAAATCCCACACGCTCCTACCTTTGAGGTAGACCCCATTTACCCACCGCACCCAAAGGGTGTTTTTCTTCCTATGGACATCCCAAAGTGTTTGAGAGAGGAGAGCATGGTTCCAAATCTTGGCATTAAGAATGCCCCGTATTACACAAAAATATAGTGCAACTCGAACCCCCACAAATTAATAAAAGGCCCATAATATGGGAAATAGTAAGCCCAATGTTATTTATGCAACAAACTGCATAAATTCAAGCCCTAGGACTTGCAACAATTGAAGGCCGTCATCTTCCTCGCAGCTCTGCTGGTTCCGCTCCCGCTCTTCCGAAAATGGTGATTCTCACCTCCTTCCTTATGCGTCTCCCCCATCCCCTCTCTCCATGAATTGTGATAAGTCTTTCTGCGTATTTAATCGTATAATTCTAAATTGATGTGTTTATGCATTAGCCGTCACACAAGACCTTCATCATCAAGAAGAAGCTTGCAAAGAAGCAGAGGCAGAATCGACCTATTCCGCACTGGATTCGCATGAGGACCGACAACAAGATCAGGTAATCATCATCGATTTCCACAATCTTCCGGAATCCGAATTAACTGTCTTGCGCATAGATTCAAATGTTTTGTCTGTGTTTTCTTGGTCTAATTTAAGATTGTATTCGGTCAGGTACAATGCTAAGCGCAGACATTGGCGTCGCACCAAGCTAGGGTTCTAAGATTGATGTAACCTCCATGTGAGACATTTATGAAGGAAAATGAGCTGCATCTTTAGAAAATAGTTATCTATTCAGAACTTATTTACTTTTGTTTCCTAATTTTGGTACTCCCTTTGATATGAGACACTGTTTGGATTTACTCAATTCGAAATATGGATGTGAGATTTGCAGTAATGGATGGCTTTTCAAGTACTAAAGTGTGTGTGAAAGTTTTGTGTTTCAGATAATCATATTGGTTATGACTTGAAAATAGTAAAATAATGGTCATTTGTCTGTCTAGTAAATATTATTATTTGATTTTCATTGGTTAGGTTTAATTACCAAGTTCTTGGTAAAAAACAGTATGACAACTCTCCCTCAGTTCGTGCCTGTTTTGAAATCTAAAGAACGTGTCTAGGAGACAACAAACCTAAAACTCCATTTGTGTTTTCCATTCCTGAAAAGGTCTGATCTTTTTCTTATTCGTTGAAACTATTGTCTTTTGAAGGGTTTTTCGATGTTTTTTTTCTCATCAACTTCAACATGGTACATCTGCTTGATGTTATGTCGAATTGGAAAATATTGATGTTTATGTTAATGGTTTTTATTTTTGAATATGGAAACTTCATAGGATCAAACTCTGTGACAAATACCTCGTATATATAGATATACTTGGCATATCAAAATGTATTTCTTAACATATCACAACTGTATGTACTCTCCTCAGTCCTCGTCCCAAAATGGTTTGCAAATGCAACTCTTTTCTTCACCAATACATTTCTATTATTTTTTGTCTTATTTTGAGTCTAGTGTTCCTAATTTAGTTTCTTGCGTTTCTTGCATTTGAGTTTTTCCGTTAAACTTTCCTGTCTAATTGGTCAACTATTGGCTTGCGACTTTGCTCACATTTCACAACTCTCATCTACGAAGTTGAAGATTAGTGGTCTTGTGATTCCGAAAGAACTTGAGTTTGATTTGGCGTTAGAAAGTACTACTTTGGTCTCATTAACATTGAAATATTGGAATATTGAGATATGAGAATGTGGTGCAATTATTAATAACATCGAGTTTATTTTGTTGATCTTGATTTGATGAAATAACAATAATTTAGATCACACAAATTTCATCAAATTTAATACGGAGTAAACTCAGACAATCTTAACAAGATGGAAGGAGTATTAACTAGACAAATTGGCCTAGATAATATCCAAATTTACCTTGACAATATATAAATTGGCCCAGACAATATACAAAATTGACATACCTATTAAAGATGATGATTGTAGGCTTCAACTCAAACTTCTCGGGCTTTTTAACATCTCAATTGGTGTCCTTAAACAAGGTCCCAGTTAACACTTTTATTATAGTTTGGGAACTTAGTTTTTTCTTTATAGCACATAATGCTTATATTTCACGTAATCACTTTGCCATTATCATGTTGTTGAGATTGAGTGCCACTCATCATCTCATTATTATACTCTAGCAATAGCCTTTGATATTTAGTATAGAAATCATTCGTCACGAGATACATTTCATCCTATATGGTTATTAATTACTCCGTAATTCTTATGAGTGCGTGGTCTCTAGGCACCCTTCCTTTTTCGCATTGCAGTCCTGGTATGAAAGTGGAAGTTCTAAACTGGTGAATGTTTGTGCTCTGAGTGTTGTTATTTGTTAACTGTGTGTTTGGTGGCCTCGATCTGGCTGATTCTGGGTCAAAAAATAGGCTAACGCAACTGATTATGGTTCTTTAAAAAAAGCAAAACTAGATGCGGATTCACAGAACCCATCGGGTAAAGTCATAATTTTGAGGACCCAAAATTAATTGAGCCGGTACTCGCTACTAGTCCATCCCATAACACAAAATTGGGTGCCCAATTTGGTTTTTATACGCCTAGTACTTGTGCGAAACTGGAACTAAGTCCACCCAAGCCATATGCAACATAAGCCAATACCACAATATTTGGCTCCACAATCCAAAAGTCAACGTCAACAAAAAGCCACGTACTAATGCTACTACGAAAGGTAAAAGTTGATAGTCTTGAAGCCAGAGCAAGGAAATCTAATGATACATACTATTATGGCTATTCTATAAATCACAAAATTTTAGCAGCTAGGCAGTAGGTTGGTAAGACGATCATTTCAAGCAAATCTCAAGATGAGAAACATGCAATGCTGTGCACTTGTGATAGCTAAGGTGTCCAAAGACACACCTGACCCCTATTGGTAGCACCTGCAAGCATCCCAGCATTGTAGGGGTGTGCATCAAAGCGGCACTGTACAGCAGATATATGCTCACTCTGTAATGTCATATGAATTTTCTTTTCGCCTGTCGAAATGACATCAACTCCTCTTTGCGTGTTTCCAATGAATATATAGGAATCATCCCAGCCCCATATGCCTCTGCTTTGTCAAACACGCACAAATTTTTAAGAACAAGGAAAAGAGAATAATGGAAACCATAAATCAACTTGGCTTCGTATACAGCTCAATCAGACACATGCATAAGGTTTCATTTTATAGTACTGACCCTAGCCATTTTTCTTTAAGTTATTAGATAACCGAGACTATTGCAATATATGTGTCTCCTGTGTGACCCCCAAGCAGGGAGGGACAACAGATACTGTTCTGTGACAGCGAAAATAGGAAAGGGGCGAAGTGATGGAGTAGATTTGGGCGAAAGAGAAAGTAATACAGTGGAAAAGTAAGTGTTAGTTTTAGATTTTTATCATTTTCGGTAACTTAATTGATCACTTTTAACTTTAAAAGTGCAAAATAATTACAACAACATTACCCCAGTGGCCCAGTGCCACAAAGGCTCCTACCTATGATGGGGTGAGAGGTCGGATGTACGCAGCCTTACTCATGTACTAAAAGACAGAGAAACTGTTTCCGGATGACCCAAGATGAAAATCATGTCGAAAATAAATAAATAATTCACTAAGCCTATTAAATTATTATTATATTATTATTGGACTCGTGACTATGGGATTGAGATGTAGCTCAGAAGCCACTGTGTAATACTTAGTTGCTTGTGTGACATCATTAGTTGTCCAGGAAAGCATCAATGAAGAATGAGAACGCAACTTGCCTGAATGAGGAAATCTGTGTGTGTGTTTGATTATCGTGATGAACCATACTTACATCTTCATAATTAGCTCCACTTGACAAGCCTATTTTGTCATCATAACTGCCCAAAATGGAAAAACTCTTACACTCATACAATCAATATAAAATAGCCAAGTATAAAGTGGGTGAAAAGTAAAAGTTGTGATTGAGGTCAGATAAAAATAAATAGAAATGATATCAATCATATATTTCTTGTCAAAAAAGGAAACCGAACATTCATTTAGGGACAATCCAAAAAGGAGTGTAAGACAATCAAAATGGGGCGGAGGCAGGAACTATTTGAGCCAGAGTGAAAAGGACTTCAAGACTTTTAAATTTAAGTATACAGGTTCAGTGATCAAGATGACTACGACTCTATGAGCCCTATTATAACCTTATTAAGGCCATACACATACCTACTATTCTTTGCTAGGCTTAAACAAATTAAATGACATGAGTTATGTCTTATGCATCCAATGTCAGCCTCAGGACATACATAGAACAAGAATATTGAATTACCCCAAGTGAGCTTCCTTTTTGCTCAAGTATATTCAAGCTAGCAGTACGAGTAAAGTCAATCGGTTCAAGGAAATATCATTTCTGGAAAAGTCCGTTACTCCAATACCTAAAATCTAAATGACAATATTGAAAACAACAACATCCAAGCCTTAGCTTAAAAATATTTTGGGGTCAGCTAACATGAATTGATACATGATATCAGAGTCATAAGGAAAAAAATTAATTACAATAAAAAGATAAGATATACATGAAAATAGAGATAAGATATACATGAAAATGATAAGATACAAATGACTAATGAAACTGATAAAAAAAAGTACTTTCAGAGGTCAGAACTATTTATATTAGCAATAGCCAACAAGGTATGAGACTAGAATAAATCACCTTGTTGACGCAAGAAGTCGACCAGATCGTGAAAAGTAAGCAGAATGCACAGGTCTTTTATGGTGAATAGTTCTCAAAGGTTTGAGTTTATTAGAGCCAGCATTTCTCATATCCCAGATACAGACAGTTTTGTCAGAAGAGCTTGTAGCCATAGTATTAATATTCTCCGAGTTAAAATCTATAGAGTTGATCATGTTTCCATGTAACTTCCTAGATGATGATGATGATTTTCCAGCTCTCAAATCCCATATTTCAAAATAACCACTTCCCTCTGCGAAATATAATGAATTCCTATCGTCTGGACTTTGACATATAGCATGTATAGGAGAGTTGCTTATATATATCGAATCAAATAACTCCTTCTCAATGTCCATCAACTTGATAAACCCATCATAACAAGATGTAATCATCTGTACACAAGGTGCAACCATAAATCAAACCAAAACCTTCAGCCATGAAGATTTTTAATGAAAAGCAGAAATTAGGCAGAATGAGTTAATCATTTTCATTTACCCCTGTGCCGCAAAGGCTCCCACCTATGGTGGGGTAGGGGGGGTCGGATGTACGCAGTGTTACCCCTGTACTAAAGAACAGAGAGACTATTTCCGGATGATCCATAGTGAAAATCGCGTCCAAAATTGCATGGACTGACTGTTGCTTCATAACAAAGAAACGCAGACAGTTTAGTGAGCCATTTTGCTTTATTCCATCATATTCTCAAGCCAAAAAATAATGAATCTTTGGCTCCATTGCAAATGATGGAAATGAAAAGCAGAATGAGTTAATATATTTTAGAAATGTTCAAAGCCCGTTTGGTGACACTGTTTTACAGCTTATCAGACTTATCAGTAAAATTTTTCACAAAACACGCAATTTTTGATATGGTGCGATGAATTGTGTAATAATAAAAAATGTGAGGTCGGAGTTACTTTTATGGCTCTATTGACTGAAGTTACTGTAGAGAATTATTTTAGCTATTTTTTCATATAAAGTTTTCTATATTTTATTAATAAAATACATTTTAAATATAATTTTTTCATAAATCAGCATAACTAGCCAATCCAGCGGCTTTAGCTAGAACTTCATAAATTTCAGCAGAATTGGGATTTGGGTATATAATTATTTTCAAGAAGCACTTCATATTTCCGATGAGTGCATATAAGCCTACATTTTGAAAATCTTAAATTATTTATCACAATGCAAATATATGTGTGTGTATAGATCTAACCTTTGACCTTGTAAATGGTTCAATCACTATCCCTGATACTCGACCAGAATGAGGTTGGTAAACATAAAGTCCCTCTCCATCCTCCTCTTTTGAGTCAGCATTCCAGAAACCTATATTTCCATGCATGTTTCCTGCGACAACCATTTTCATCTCTGTTGCTGGGAAAAACTTCACATTAAGTATTCTTCCTGGCACAACCTGAGCAATACTTTCCGGTTCCAATCTCAATGAGTCCATATCTACTGAACATGAAGGCCTGGTCATCTTGTCAACATCACAAAAATTAGGTTCTTGATCAGCCTTCTCATCCAATTTTGGCTTTCTTGATAAACTCTTAATTGTTTCAATTAATTGCTGGTTTGAGCCTGTAGTAACACCCCTGTAAGCATCTTTCATATTGATAGGTACAGGCTCTCTAACCAAATTCGACAGTGAGTTTTCTTTGCTTAGTTTATCCCTGATTTTGGATCCAACAAGGTCATGTCTCAGGCCACCAACTGTCGAAGGATCTGGAGGCTTTCCTCGAGTCCTTAGAGAATGACGAAGTGGAGCTTCAGATTTTAGCCTTTTATTATATGATCTTTTCTGCATCCTGCAGTAGTAATAGAAGAATACATTTACTCAGAAATGGCAACACATCCCTATGCTATGTACATCCAAATATGAAATCAACCACATAAATTTTACACAACCAGGCAAATTTACTACTACTATAAATTACAGATCACTTTTTACAATCCAACACACACACACACACAAACATATATACCTGAAGAGTATCTCTAAAGAGAGTATAAAATCTAATGTTTCCTCTTTTGGTAAAGGAAACAAAACAAAAGCAATATGATATGTCCGGCAGGTTTGACTCTGTACGGGAGGATAGAGCGAGGCGGAAATAAGAAGGAGCTGGAATACCTGACGGCGGCGGTTGCAGCAGAGAGATCTGATACGTGGGAAGGAATTTTGAAGGCGACGAGCATTTCCTCGTTGCGCTTGATGTTTTCCAGTCTCTTACGCTCGTAATCCGTGAATTTCTGAGAAGGAGCCATTAGAGAAATCGGAATACTGTGGGAGTAGTGTAACTTCCAGAAGTGAAGAACAAATAGGCGGAATAAAAATGGGGGGAAAATGGTTAACAGTGACGGCGGGAGAAAGGGTTAAACATTGACGATATGTATCGCTCTCTGTCTCATGTCAGGCCGACCTGATCGGGAGAGCCGTCCGGCGGAGCCTTTTGGCGACTTTTCCAGTGAAATTTTTTTATGAAATTTTTTGAGCATGTTCCTCATCAAGTTTAGTTTGTCCATACCAAATTTCAGCTCAAAATTCGATTGGGAAGGCATTCAAATATTTTGTTGAAGTTGATTGCGTTTTTATATGTACATTTTGATGCAGTCAACTTCAAAAAAATATTTGAATGTCTTCCTGATCGAATTTTGAGCTGAAATTTAGTATGGACAAACTAGACTTGATGAGAAACATGCTCAAAAAATTTCATCAAAAAATTCCACCGGGAAGATCGCCAAAAGGGCTCGGCCGGACAGCTCTCCCGATCAGGCCGGCCCAACAAGAAGAGTTCTCTACCGAGTAAATCAGTAAAACAATGACGGCGGGAGAAAGGGTCCCTTATCCAGACAATATTTAAATCACTTAATTCGATTATATTTTGAAAATGGGTTTGATGTGTGTATACTAGTATCTGTTGATCAAATTGTTATTTAAGAGTATTAATGATTTCTTAAAATAGAAATGAAAAGTAATACTCTCTCCGTCCCGTTATTATTGTCTCATTTAACCATTTCGGTCCGTCCTACTAAAATTGTCACATACCTTATTTGGTAAAGTTTGTGTGGTTCTAAATCATTCCTACTTTATTTTTACTTTATCAATTCAATATCAACCACATAAACTCACTTTTATTAATAACTGTGTCACCTTCTCTTGTCCCAAACTTAGAGGGACGGAGGTACTACTTTGTAACATGGAATTGGGAACTTTAAGTTGGGACTGATTAATTAGCTTATTGTGTAAGCTACTTGATAATAAGATTTTTACTACTAGGTATTTTGATAAGTAGTTATCATTAATGGATTGAAGTAAAGTATTAGCTAATTGATAACAATGATTTTTTACTATTTTAGTAAGCTGCTATCATTTGGGGTCGAAGTAAGTGTTGGAAAAATGTGTGAAAAAATTGCATTAAATGGCTATTTTGGGGCAATTTTTTGAGTGGGGTCCACTTCCGATTTGGGTCGGGTCAAAGTGGTTTCGGATTGTCCTTGTTAAGGGCTACAATTCGATATATGGTACGCTCAAAACGGATAACGGGTGAATGAGAAATCGCTTTTCGAAGTTTACCCGTTAGAAGGGAAAAAGGATGGGTTTCTAGTGTGTTAATTTCCCACACCGGAAAACCCAAGGGATTTGCTACCCTTTATAAAGGGACTCCCCCCTTATGGAGTTAAGATTCTTAAGGGTAAAGGCTCTCTCCACGCGCGCAGGGGGGTTAGGGGGAGGGGGGTGCAAATCAAATCCCGAATTCGGAGAAGAAAAACCGCGACTTGCGTGCGCGGGCGACCTGCGGACACGAATGTCGTCCAAAAATCTATCTCTCAAGAGATACGATTAATTTTTGTTTTCTTTTTGAAACGTTTAATTTTTTCCCAGCGACAGAAGTGCTCGGACAGAAGCCTACGGATCAGAACACCTCGTTGGTGTTCTGATGGCAGAACCCCTCATGGGGTATTCTGATGGCCGCCCATCAGAGATGGGGTATTCTGATGGCCGCCCATCAGAGTTGGGGGTACTCTGATGGCCGCGGATCAGAGTTGGGGTCTTCTGATTGGCCTCCAATCAGAACCCTCCCGGGGTGTTCTGATGGAGGTCTTCTGTCGCGCTTCTGAAACGTTACAACAATTAATGCCCAACGTTTATATCTTTTAATGCAGTGTTAAATGGACAGTTCATGGACAATTCAATGCCCAACGGACTGGTCATTGATGTCCAACGTTCAGGTCCATTAATTCACTATTTTCATACAACAAATCCTCCTATATAATGGCTGGCAGGTGGTTTGCAACAATACAACTTCTTACACGCTTTCTTACACAAATCCATACACGTTTTAGCTCTAAAAACACACTGCTAACATTCCGAAAATTTCCCCTGTGTTCATACTGTGTTCTCGTTCGCTGGAACTTTTGTTTGTGTGCTCAAACATTAGTTCGTAGTCATCGTATCCTGGGAAACGATTGTTGCAACGCTCCTAGCACCGTGGGAGGCAACAAATACGTTTTAAGGACATCGTGCGTAGCACGAGCTTTGACAAATTCTGCTCCATCTCTTTTCTTGTTTTTCTTTCGTCATTTTATTTAATTAATTTATTTTAATTAATTTTCTTTATTTTCCGAAACACACCCAACAGTAAGGTATTTAGGAATTTAGTTATTTACAATTAGACATTAAGAAATAAAGTGATCAATAATGATACAAAAAAAGAGATATGTTGTAAATTCCTGAGAATGACAAGTGTGAATGTTTCATCCTTGTCATCAGGACACTAATCCAATTCCAGTCCTTGTAATAGACAGATGTTTAGGTTTAATGTTGCCAGCAAATTATGTAGAATCATTCCTAGATGATTCATCCCAAGTCTGGCTAGTATAAATAGGGCATTCAATCCTTTGTAAAATTAATTCAAGTAATTCAGAAACTCAGAAAATTTCAGAGATTATTAAGAAGAAGTTATTTAGAGCTTTTTATCAATATATCTATCTCTTTATTTAGTCTTCATCTTCTTCATTTCACAACACGTTATCAGCATGAATCTGCTCAAAACTCTCCAAGAAATCATCTTCCTGCAGGTATGAGCATCATTATTAATTATCTTCTTTAATGTTCTGAAGTCATTAAAATACTTTTTCAGAATATAACATGTAGTACTACGCAAGTAAATTAATTGGTTTTTCCAAATAAAATTTACGTACTTTATATAATAAAAGGAAGTAGAGAAGTTTACCTCTAAGTAGTCTTCAATCTTGATGAATATACAAGGTCTTCGTAGAACAAAAACGGAAGCAGATTATGATTTTAGAAAGACTATTGCTGTGTAATACTTGTATAAAATAGTCATGTGACTTGAAATGAAAAACAAAGAATAAAGAAAAATAATGCGAGAAGATAGTGATAAGAAAACTCTGTAAACATAAAAAACCCAATATAATTGATATGATGAATACTTGGATTCGTTAATAGTAATGGACATCTGCATAGAGGATATGAATAATAAGAATAGGAAAACGGGGTATAAGAGGAGAAATGGTCTGAATATAAAGATGATGTTAAGTTATTGCTGCCATTGTTCAGAACTAAAATTAATGCAACTCAGAACTCACGGATGTGCTTTGATAATTGATATTATAATGACAAAATTAGATTGTTGTTTTTAGAGTTCTAGACTATTCAAATAAGGAGTATTCTTTACACCTACTATTGCGAATTGATATACGTGAGTCACATATATAGGTCAGAGAATTCACATGCAATCAAGCCACGTAACATGTTTAAAAATTACTACTCCCTCCGTCCCCTTTTAAATGGGACGGGAGATGGTGGCACGGGTTTTAAGAAAAGTGAGTTTGTGTTGTTGATATTAATTGATAAAGTAAAAATAAAGTAAGAATGATTTTGAGCCACACAAAGTTTACCAAATAAGGTATGAGACAATTAAATAGGGACATCCCAATATAGTAAAACGGGACATTTAAAAGGGGAAGGAGGGAATATATGCTATTGTTTTCGGTTACTTTTGTTTCTATTATCTGCATGAGTTTATCTTGTCTGACTTGTCACGGGTAATATGAAAACGAACTTATCTGTTAGGTAACTTAGGTTGAATTCTAAAAGTAAAGTCAAAATTAAATGTTACACTTGATAAAGTTGAGAAACCCTTGATGCTACGAAGCATAATTTATCTCAACATTATTACTACCTATATTTAGACTATATTCTAAAATTCATAACATTTGTGAAAGTTTAGTAACAAATTTGTATTAATAATTCTTGTAGTATCATGGCAAACATTAGCAAAAGAGAATTTGACGTTCTTGATCTGTCTGGTCAAAAATATTTGGAATGGAAAGTCGATGCTTTGGCACATTTGAAAGCTAATGGTTTGGAGGACACTATTGAGGCAAATAATCTATCATCTTCCCAAGACAAAGCGAAAGCTATCATTTTCCTCCGTCATCACCTCCATGAAAGTCTCAAATCTGAATATCTTTTGGTTGATGATCCAAAAGAATTATGGGACAATTTACAAGAGAGGTATGACCACCAGCAAAAGGTACTTTTGCCAAAAGCTCAGTACGACTGGATCAATTTAAGATTCCAGGATTTTAAATCTATCAGTGACTATAATTCTGCTATGTTCCAAATAACATCAAAATTAAAGTTATGTGGACAAAAAGTCACTGATGCTGATATGTTGGAGAAAACCTTTTCTACGATGCATATTTCTAATATGCTGCTACAGCAGCAATATAGAGAAAAGGGATTTAAAAAATACTCTGACCTTATATCAGTTTTACTGGTCGCTGAGCAAAATAATGACCTTTTGATGAAGAACCACAATTTAAGACCCACTGGTTCTAGTCCTTCGATTTATGGTCCATCTGGACATAATATAGCCACTGAATCAAACGCAACACACAGTGGCACGAGAAGGCATTTTAAACGTGGGCATTTTAATGGTCATAAAAACAAGTCACACCGAGAATATAAACGGGTCGAAAGACCAAATTACAAGGGCAAGGGCAAACAAAAAGCCCATCAAACAAATCGCCCTACAAAAACCTCGGTGAAAACGACTTGTTACAAATGTGGCATGACGGGACACTGGGCTAACAAATGCCGTACTGCAAAGCATCTTGTGGAGTTATTTCAAGCTTCCATGAATTTAAACAAAGGCAAAAATGTGGAAGCGAATTATGTCAATGACACAACTCCATCTCTGCCAAAATTTGATGTGTCTGACTTCTTCATGGATGATAGCATAATGGATGATGCATTTGCCACTGATCAAAATAACACAAAATAAATTATAAGACTTTTACATATTGTAAAATAGTAGTTTATGTTATCGTGTATTTTTTTTCTTTAGGTTACCTTTATGTTGTTTTCATAAATAATGATGTAATATATGTACTCTAATGTTATATATGATGCATAATTTGTGTTACTTGCATATCA